AATACAATAAAAACGGAGCTCCAATCAAAATTATTGATCATAACAAACACGCATGGACATCCGCGGTTACAATATTCCCGCGAGACAGAACAGTGAAGTGAATCCCAGAAGAATTCACCAAGGATGGTATCCTCACTGAAGAAAGATTATTCGATGCTATTTCTAGTTTGTGTAAAAACGACCCTGTATCAGTATGGCTACTTCATAGTTTTGAAGATGAAGAATGTCAATTCAATCAATTTGTGGAACCTAACGGTGAATTATATCGTACTGAAAGTCTACATAATAGGATGAAAAATCTAGCAATAAGTCTCAGTGAAAACGCTAGCGTTTTTAATGGAAAATCCGACGATTACGAACAGTTACTTACAAATTGTTTTACAATTCCATCGGTTGCTGCTCATTTTGCAAGAAAGAAAAATAATTGGAAACCAACACGAAAAGAGTTTTTACAGGATGTTCAATCCAGCTGTCTGGAATATTATTATGGCGGTCTATGGAACGTTAAGTACAATCGTGAAAGTATGATATCAGTTGATATCGTTGCCTGTTATCCAGGAAGTTTTCTATGATATGGATTCCCTGGTGAGTATTTTAAACGGTTTGGACATCCCACACATGAAATGACTCGCGTTGCTATTAATGGACCATTGCCTGATTTTGATTTGACCGGTTGTGCACGCGTAGTATCATTTGAATTCGCTGAAGGACTTCATCCGTGTTGTTATGTTTGGATTGGTAGACACATGGCTGAAAGGATGTGGTTACCAATAGTGTTATTGCGATATATGATTGATTGTAAAATGTTAGTTTCGTTGATTGTCAGCGAAGCGATTATCTCATATCGAAAACAAACCAATGTCTGGTTACCAGAACCAGAATGTCTTGATAGTATAATCGATAAGTCTAGAAAACATATTGATGTTGACGAGGAGTACATCATTGATGTACGAGGAGTACATCATTGAATGGTCAAAAAAAATATTTAATGGTCAAAAAAAATATTTAATCAACGAAATAATGAACCAAAGGATCTGGCCGAAGAATAATCGGTAAATTTACACAAGGTGGAAAAAAATTCAACTTTAAAAGACAATCCTCATGATTGATTATAGATGATGCCGAATACGACTTCGTTATTAAAGATGCAGTAGAGAAAAATAGATACGCAAATTGTAAAACAGCCTTCGTGTCCAATAGAACAAAGTTAGGTAGAATTGTTACTTGCATTGATGGAGAAAGCTCTCCATATCTACATTTGAGAGCTTCTATGCTGGGTTATGCATCTATCAATTTATTTGCAATGATAAATAGATTTCCTAGTATAGCAGTTAGAGTTGCAATTGATTCAATGTATGTCGATAAAAAATATGTCAAAGAGGTAACTAAATTTACTAATAGCGAAGAGACTTGGGGAACATGGCGAATTAAACGTGAAATACAATGCGATTATTCTGAATCAGCAGACTTTGAAATTAAAAGCAGTTACCTGAAAAACGATAATTCTATCAGTGAAAAATCCGAAGGATTTTCTATGTCTAAAGCACCACCGATATCAGATCCAATTTGGAGATATAAAACAGTTTATTTAAACGGTTGTGGTGGATCTGGAAAGACAACACGTGTGATAGAATTATATAGAGAGAGAACGTCCATGATTGTGCTCACACCAACCGATAGACTAGCGAGAGAGATAAAACAACGAAATGTTGAAGCTTGCACGTATCATAGTTTTTTTTTTTCGACAATTCACCGTAGACAGAAAAAATAACAATCTTGGTCATCTCAGAAACAATGTGATGTTGACCTGTCTTGAGTGTAATAGACGTAACGGAGTTAGTTAAGACCATGTGGCGGTAATTGAGTATCGTCAGGAATGACTTGTAGTTGTTCGCGTGTAAAACCACGCTGAGGTGCAGTTGAATCCAATCTGTAGATTGGAGGTCTACCAGTTGATCGCGTTATGGTTGAAATTTTATGCGTAGTAACACTCCATATAGGATCAGTACCTCTTTTTTTACCACTTTCAAGTTCTCCTGGTTCGTATAAATATCTCACAGTAACATCACCGAGAAGTGGCTGAGTGCTATCCCGCTGTGGTTGTTCGGGTATATATTTTTTTATTGCAATATTTGGTTTCATATTAAGAGTTCGAGTAATCTCGTTATTTAACGCTGCAACTACACTCGGTAACCTTTGGACCCATTCAAGAGATCGTTTTTCTTGGATGAATTCTTTTGCATATTGATATCCAAATAACCGTTCTGCAAGAGTTTGATTAAATCGTTCTACAATTGCCTGATCACGATGTAACGCAGTATGTCCCCGTCGTATTGTAACATTATGAGTTTTCATTGTTGATAGAACAGCACCTTGAAACTCTTTGCCAGGATCAACTTGTAATAGATTTGGCCATCTTAGAGGACCTCGTCGATAAATCCTTTCAAATGCAGAAGCGACTTCAGAAGCTGACTTTGTTTATAATGGTTCTGCTTGTTTAAATCGACTCGCAATATCAACTACAGTTAGCGCGTATTTGTAACCATGGTCATGTGGTAAAAACAATAAATCAGCCTGATGAACTTCATTGGGTACGGTAACATCAAAAAGAGAAAATTAATTTGTTTAGGCGGTGGTAGATAAATTTGCCATATAGCTTGTTTGGATAACCAATCTTCCGCAGTGGACTTTTTCACTTTTGCAGCGTTAGCGAGTTTACTGTTTGCTGCTTTACACCTCCAGTATCCTTTCGGAGAATAATAAATAGATTCCATACTATAAAAACACTAGTGTTTTTAATTACCAGCACCTAACACCAATTTGCCTTTCATAGCTGATTTGACCAACCATGAATCCAATTTTTCTTTGAAGGATTTATTGGGAATAGCATTTAACGCATGAATTAATTTTACATCCGCGAGATGCCTTTGTTGCAAATTATTGCTTTTATATGCAACATCATGAGCATGACATGCCTTATCAATAGCAGTTATTGGATACTCACCAGGCCGGGGCTGATTTTGATCATCAAGTCTGAGATCTAATCTCGTTCCGGGACCACAGTAACTATATCCTGGAAGGTTTGTTTTCTCCAGGGTATTTTGCCCATGGGGTTCCGGGGAGTTTTCCTAATTTGGCTGCGATATCACAGCCGTGTCGCTTTTTTTAGAGAAATAAATCGAAATTTTTTTGTACCACATGTTACACACTTACCAGTAAGTGCCGATGTGTTATTTTTAGTTGTAATCGTCGTCACATCATTTGTACTAGTACGCTGTTTACATTTAACACAATATAGATCCATAATTTATATATAGCGTTATGAATATAATTGATTTTTCAGCGACTAAAAGAAGAGAACCGTTGAAACACCACGCAGCGCTTCCGAATTCTATCGGTGCCATTATAATCGGACCATCTGGATCGGGTAAAACACAATTGCTGCTTAATTTGATAATGCGATTTATTAAGTGGGATAAATTATATTTAGTTGCTCCATCCGTAGATGATCAACGGTGCTATGAAGTGCTAAAAGATTATAATGAGAATGCATCAGAAATTAAAGGTGAAAGTGTCATCGACTTTATAACAGATATTGATGATGCGCCTGGCGTAGATGACCTCGATGGAGACATAAACAATCTTGTAGTGTACGATGATGTGATGTTAGATAATCAAAAGAACCCTGCTAGAATATTTTCACGAGGTAGGCATAAAAACACTGACGTGATATATGTCACTCAACGCTACACTCAGATTCCAAAAGTGATTCGCGATAACTGCAATATTCTTGCTGTATTCAACGGCGTTGATACACATACGCTACGAAATATTTGGCAGACATGGTGCTCCGATATGGACTTCAATGGATTCAAAAATTACTTTATTCATGCTCAGTCAGACCCACATGGATTTTCAACAATAAATTTACACGACCCTCGGTCACGATATCGTATTGGACTTGATCAAATATTCGGTTATTAACCCTGAAATCCTTTTAGCAGCAGGGAGGGTTATGACAACATATTTGCGACGTAGATGATAGCAATTATTGGCAGCAATTTGAGGGTGGTTATGACAATATATTTACGACAAAATCGCTAAGGCTCCAATTGTAAAATGGGGTCTTTATTTTGTTTTTGGTTAAAATATGAGATTTCGTAGGAAGGCTCTATTGGGCATTCTGAGGCTTTAATCGATTTTGTCGCAAAAATTTGTAGGGTTCACCCTCCCTGCTGCTAGATGTCCCCGCTGCAACGATATTTTTCTCATCTTCATGCGAATGCAATGCTTTATATATATCGTGCCTAACGAATCAGGTGCTAATCCCCAAATCAAAATTATACAAATACTAAATTTACTTCAACTGTATCTTATCACTTTCTTTCGCAAAACAAACTTTACATATCATTTTCAATTAATTAGGGACCATTACAACTAATATGCTCTATTTTATGGTCACTCACTTTTAGATTGGTCTATAGTTGAGCATGTAAGTAATTAGTTTCGCGAGCCCAATAGTTTAAACGTATACTTACTAATCGACATAATGTCAGTCGGTAGAAATTGAACTGAAGTTTTGATAGTGGCTGTTAATTATAGATTCAGTTTGGATATAATTAGGTTTTGCATGAACAAGAAAACGTCATAGCAGTATCTGGAAGCAGCTTTGACTTTTCTTTAAATTTTATATAACCATTCATTTCATGTCGCTTGTAGTGAAAAGTGATAGGTCCACAAGTTACGATGCGCGCACGAGCATGTGTGTATATATGACTTTGATTTTTAACTTCGTTTTAACAATTGTTCAATCTTATCGATACGATGACTGCAGTGTGGCAGTTTACAGTGATGTCTAACACTAAGGAATCATAACACAGACATGTAGCATGATGTCCCATCCAGTCACACTATTTACACCAGACAACCAGTCCTAACACTAACCTCGTAAAGCTGTGCATATAGCGAGTCAAACGTTTGTAACATGTGTGTCTTTAGTATGACTTGGCCGGGATTCTAACCCCATGATCTTCCGTATCCGAGGCGGACGCTCTAACCACTAGGCCATCGGAGCGGTGGTAGATTAAGATGTACAAGTGCTATGTATATTTAATTTGCATTATTTGTTAATTTTTGTTTTTATTTTTTAAATTTCATTTTATGTTATTGTAAAATAACATTGTATATTGGAGTTAATCCTACTTGACCTGAATTATTGTCTTTTTTTCCATTCTGTAAACAACTCATGCATAGCTAAAAATATTCTCTATATCCATGGGTTTATTATCAGAATCATTATTAATAGAAACAAATGTTTATTTGGGTCTGGGTCTAGTTTATTCTGATTCCCCTACAATTTACCTGATATTGTTCAGGTTATATATTATAATGTTAGCAGCAGACTTTTGTATAATAAAAACATTTTTTTGGTAATCATTAAGAACTTTATAGACGGTTATGTTCCAATAGGTAATGGTTTTTATTAATTCGTTGTTGTGTTTGCTTTTTGTAAATTGTTAACTGAGGTCATATAGGGAACTATACAATCCTGTGACTGGAAAGATGATTCACTCATGCTAAACAGTCATTTTATATTATTGTTGTGTCCATTATTCATTTGGAATTTATTTCTTCAAATTACTTAATTCGACGATTCTTTTCTCTGTAAATAAAGAGTGTTCATAAAATATAATATTCTTGGATAGGGATATTCATTAGGATTTACAGTGAATTCAAACCTTGCATTTTATTGAAGTGTTTGATCAAAGGACTGTTGCACAACAGCATTATACAGGTCTTCACAGACACATCAACACCTTCAGCATTGGACTTATTTCGGATTTATAATGAAGTTTATTCTGAATTTTAAATTATTAGGACTCGTGTCTATAATTCTATGATTACTTTGGGATTTAATTTGTAATACTGTAAGATCTTTTTTATGTTCACTTTGTATTCAAGGCAAATAAATTATTTGTTGATTTTTACAAATCTTGTTGATTTTCACTTTTTTGTTACTTATTTTAATGACATAGACTCGTAACATCAGCCGGATGTAGGACCATTTGCCACAATATATTATTCTTGGAAATATAAAAAGCGCTCCTTCAGCGCTGAGCTTTTCGTGCAATTCCACAATCAAAATTTGGGGGACATGTCAAAAGTTTTTTTTAAAGTTAGAAATACAAAATATCTACTTGGTCACATCTATCGACATATTTAGCCAGATCAATTGATCAGAGAGGTGTGTTTCGAACTGTGCAATTTCCTTAAGGAGTGCTATTTATCATAAAGTTATCCAAGTTCTTCATGGTGTTGGAACAGCCAGTATGTTCAAGCTTTTTGCAATGAACACTGTTGAGTGACATTGGGTGATAATTACTGACCATTGAATGATTACCTATTTCAGTAGTGACCATGCAATTTATTTGCCAGATACCATTCCTTGGGATGTTGTACATGTAAAGTGATTATTAAAAGAATTTTAAGTCCTTGTGACAACTAAGACTTTAGTGCCCCAAGTACGTTTTGATTATCCGCTCCTCAAGTTTTTGATAGGTTTAAATCATATAGTAACTTTTGAAGTCCTCAACAAGTCACTACTGTATTATTCATTTTTGATACCTTTGGGAATATATATGACAAAGTCATATCATTATAGTAGTTAAAGCAATGCAAAATTGTGTGTTCAGTGTTTGAGCCTTCTCTAAATCGGTTTCTACTGGTCTGGTGTCTGTGTTTGGTGAATGAACGGCATGCGCGTCTTGTCGGTTTTATCTTGATGCATTTCCGGCGTGATTTAGAATCGAATGTTAGGTTTCCACTCATATTGTTGATGTAGTTGTGTGAAATTTAAATGTTTTTAAATAGGAAAACCAGAGCCCACCCCAAAAAATAAATCATTCAGCTCTTACCAGTTTCCAATTTATTCTCAATTTTTACTGTGCCGGTATGAGTTCTTACATGGGTCACTCAAGAGTTAGATGGGAATTTTATTTTAAAAATTACGCCATACTAAAGATTTAAATAAGAAGCACTCTAGAGCCAAACGGGAATTTAACATTGTGTGTTCCTGAAGCCAAAAGGGAATTTAACATAGAGGAAATGATAATGTCATTTTCTTTTAAATTCAAATCCAATGCGCCACATTTACAATCCAGCTGCCTGTTATATTTTTCTTGCAATATACAAATTCCATAATCCAGCAACCGCCTTTTGATCACTACCGAAAGACAGCCCACAATCCAGCAAACTGATTAAAATCAGATCTTCGCTGTCCTACGTGAAGATATGACAACGACCGCTTCGGGTCCATGTTCTAATGACCTTTGAATTAGCCAATAGAAATGCATCTTTTAAAAATCAAATCATTCTCTACACATTGATGTTCTTCATCCATACTGCTCAGTATCCAAACGCAAGGATATAAGACTTCATCTGACTGGATGACAAAATTTTCGATTATAGTAATGACATGTTACCAGAACATTACTCCTAAGTGTTCAATGTCAGAGCTAAACGTACAACAGTTGAGATCTGATTTTATTCATATTGACAATCCAGTAATAGCATTTTGATCTCTGTCCAAACAATCAATCCTACTATCTTGAGAAATGTGTCGTAATGTTTATGCACACGTGCTTTACTTGCATCCACACAGTAAGAAATAATACATGTAGAGGGTTTTGATTGAGGTAGATCTATATTGTTTTTTTTACAAACAAAATCATGAATGGAAATTGTAGTTTTTATTTTTAGCTAAATATTCATCCTTCATACGTTTTATGTTAAGATATTATGAATGTAAAATTGCATAGTATCATATATATATAAATAGATATGCCCGTGTTTGCTGTTACAAATACTATAATTAGTAAATCTATTGACAAATTTTAGGTTGGTTCCCATTGGACTGGTAGATTAGGTTAATTTGTTGAGGAAATGTTATTTCCCATTTGATAGGTTAGATCACGTGAACTGGTATTTTGAAATATTAGATTATGTAGCTAGAACTGTACCGTGGGGTATATTGAGACAAAAAATCGTAATAAATTCTAATTCTTGAAGGTTCATATAAGAGAACCGAGCAATCAAATTCATTCCTATTTTGGATTATAATTTCATATGTTAAAATGAGTTTGCAAATGAATATTAAGTTTTATTTAGATATTATTTGAGAAGAAAAAGAGTTGTTTGAATTCTTCAGTGGAAATAAAACGGTTATGTTATTTATTTCTGCTAAAGAATAAAGACAGTCACTGAAAGTGTCATTTCTCAGAGGTCAATATAATAGTCATATATGAGGCAATACATCTGCTAGGTCAAATAAACACCCATCAGATTTTATGGTGAATTATAGGTCATTCATGTTAAAAGGTTCTATTTCACTTATTGGTGATTCCGCCAATACAATTCCTATAAAAATATTAAGGAAAGCAGAAGCTTCTAGGAATTTCTTATTATCAGGTACTTTGCCTTTGTTTGACAAGTCGTATTCTGATGGAAGTGTTCTTGTTTCGGGAGTAGAGTGCGTTTTTCTTCAAATTCCAATCCATAACTTTAATGTGTCTTCATGCATAGCTTCAGGGCCAATGACTATCAGTGCTGTGAGTTACTTACTCATTGAGGATGTTCATTTATTGCTAGGTAACGACTTAGCGGGAGATAAGGTTGTGGTTAATTTTCTTGTAACTGACAAGCATTGTTTGGGTAAAATAGGTTCATCGTACTGAAAATAAAATCCCTTATTTATGCCCTGCTTGAGCAGTTTCTAAAGCAATGACAAAAAGTGCTCCTGAGAAAGATATTTGTAAGGAAATTGTTCCCTTAGCTAATACATGCTTTGGTCAGACATTTTATGAGGTCACCTTTGCTCAGTTACTAATCAATACCTTTTATGTGTCATTAACCTATCTTAACTGCTAATACTCTTATTTCTAATCAGGCTGGCGAATGTCATTCAATTGTCATTTATATGGAAAAGATCCTGATATATCCTGTTTGTTTCAGAGGGTTATTAGTGAAGCTGATTCTGCAGATGTAACAACTCGATATGTTTGTAAAATGGGGTCCTTATGATAACACCGAGACCACCTGAGGCACCCGCTGCTGAAGAGTGGTCAGTGAGCTATCAAATCGTTACTCCTACGTTATATAGACATGAAATTCATAGTATAGCGCATGAAACTATCTTGCCTAATCATTTTGGAGCTCGCGAAACCTATCAGAAGTGCTTGCATCATTTTTATGAAACTACCTTGGCTAATCATTTTGGATCCCGCGAAACCTATCAGAAGCTTTTGCATCATTTTTACATCATCTTACATCTTGTTTCCAAATATTGTAGATCTTGTTTAATTTTTCAATGGCTGGTTTAAGTTTTTTTGAACTAGTTTTTGGATTTATTATCCATAAACCACTGGAATTGTTAAAAGAGAAAATGTTTAACAGGAATCCGACACTAATCTTTTAAAATATACCTCTGATTAAAGCAAGATATAATCTCCTGTATACTCACTCAAAATTGCAATTACGGCAGATCAAAAGAAAAAAGGTAAGAACTTTTCAGCCTGGTGATATAGTTCTGTAACTCTTGCCAATACTTCAAAATCCTCTTTAGGTTGGATATTAATTGTCTTTATAAAGTTAAAAAGAAAATGACTTTGGAAAAGATTGGATTATTCAGTGGAAATGGACAATGCTCATTTGACTATATTATCATTTTGGAACCATTGTGAACTATTCAAACAGGTTCTCGATGACACCATCTTGACAAATCAGGAATGTTGGCACACAGATATATTCTTAGATCTGAAATTTATTCGGAAAATTTTATTCTTTTGGATCTTAAAATAACCTTATTAGGATTATTGTGGATTCATTTCATAATTACATGTTACTCCCAGATTTGTTTTAGAACATTCATCATAAAATTATTAAGTTTTACAAAACGTTTTAGCTTTTTTTCTTTCTGTGACATAGTTTATGACCATATATAGTTGTAACCGTTACTGTTACAGGTGACAACTCTCTACCCAACATAATTTTGTCCTCATATCAAAGGAAAACA